CACGAGAGACACCGATTCTACCTAATCGCTGCGTGCGTTTCTTGATGCCTCGTTTCCACGTCATCTGTTGACCTCCACGCGGTTTCTTCCAGCCTGTAGCCGCAACTGCAGATAAGGTGCGGTGTGGTAGATGACGGCCGGGCATGCGCAACACGTGTCCTAACCAGCGATGCAAACTAATCTGTATTCGATAGGACAACGAATTCTCCATCGAATCATTGCCAAATACGCGACGCCTTACCTCCGAGTTGCTTACAAACTCGCTCCATCCAACCCACGCCAAATTACGTAAACATTTGCAGTCGAATACTTCTAGACGACGAATATCTTCCACTCGCAAATTTAGGATCTCGCAACCATAGAGCAAAACTGACCGCACACTGGCGCAGTATACACGACCTTTCAAGTTCGACAAAACATCGCGTCTGCAACAGAGGTGTTTCAGTCCTGCATAAGCTGCTCGAGTCTTGGAAATGTGGGCGGTCACTTCATTGCCTATGCTACCGTCACTTGTCACGCAGCTACCTAAGTAGGAGAAGCATTCTACTACCGTTAATGCTTGACTATCAAGCATTAGTGCTGGGGTGGACAACACCCAGTCTTGTAGCATCAGTTTGCACTTTGAAGGTGCAAAGCACACACTGAATGAAGTTACAGAACCTGAAAGTCTGTCTCCTCCATACGTTCGAACGGACAAAGGATGTCGTCGATGTACTCTAGATCACACAGCTTTTCTCCAGCTGTGCATGCAATAACAACATTTCACATACTTATGCAATCATTTCCACTGTGTCAATTACGAGGTGAATTTGTTCGATCACGTATGAAGTAGAACTTTCTTATTTGCAAATCAGCTGTAATTCCTATAACGCATTGGTTGCACACATCCGTACGACACTATTTTCATTGATATTTGGATGAGTTGATTGGAACTGAAACCATCGAGTCGTGGTTTGAACTGCACTTTGTCTTTATCTCTTTCCCTTTAAATCACTCTCAGATGATGAAACAGGGATCATTCATCAACTACAAGTAATATTCAGTCAGCTCCAGTTGAGCAATTCCCGGTGAGCTTTACTCCGTTTCTTGAAAATACTTCATTTGTTTTCTAATACTGATTTTTACCTGTATTCTTCCGGGTTCACCTGAGAAAACTTGCTTTCAAAACAAATACCGTTGGAATATGTAGCGCGCCAATCCTAACCTTCTCTGATGTTTTCCCTGGTTACCATGAATCAGTAGACAGACATACATCAGGCAATGTTTTGACGCTAACCGCGTTTAGGATGGAAATAAGTAGGCGGAAGGTAGGACTGTTTCTTCTTCCAACCACTATACATTGATGGAAACCGATAACCTAAGCCCCTAGACTTGGATTGGCGAACCACGTCAGGTCCCTATGGGTTAGGCGTGGTATTGAACCGGACAACAGCAAAGCTGTCTACCACCAAATTTGGATGGCGGTGGCGGGGCTCGAACCTCAGACCACAGGGTCCAAAGCTCGCAGATGACAGCGATTAGACCACTGTGCCATCATCACCCGCTAGATGCATACATACGTACAATGCACATTTGCCCCAGACCAATATCATACACTGCCTTTAGATATCATTAATAGTTGTGATCAGAAGCACGGCAGTGTTGTGGCCGGTATTGCTGGTGCATCCATTCCCCTACCTCGTTCCCCAGTATTCCCTCAATAGAGTCAGTTTGTTACTATTCGCCCTCTGGCCTCAGTATCGAATTCGCTCTGTCGACGAACGGTGGTCACAGCCTTGGCTTAACCGGTGTGATTCAGTGAACCGTGTTCAACAGGACGAAAAATTTTTGTAATTCAGTCTTCCTCGGTGTCATGTCAACCTTGAAAATGCAGTTCCAACATTGTGATAATCTTGTCTCGAATTCGGGGCTTTCAAAGCTCCGTTCATTCAACACTGTTTCTGATTGGCTTGTTAAATCTATTATGCAGTTTACTTTTCTCGCCCACTTGACTCGACATCCTATGTATATTTTTTTGACCGTG